TTACTTGTTCCTTCTTTTGCTCCTTGTGTATTTAGCTCCGGCATTGGATGTTAGTTACTAACAAAATATTGATCAGGACAATTAACAAATCCTCATGGCCAGTCTACATCTTTAAGTATAATGGACTCTAATCTTAATATCTATTTCTTTAATCAACTTTTTTAATCAGCACCTCCAACACTAATTTCATGGAACTTATATTTAGGTTTGGCTAGTGGTTAATGTTGTGTTCACACTATTCTTCTGTTTTCCATAGTATAGGGCCTTATTTACTTGTTATTGTTACCGCTTTCCATCTATTTTCGGGTTCTTATGTCGTTATTATTTCTATGTTTTCTGTTGATGGTACTGATGTATTTGTTTCTTTTCGTCTTCTTGAGCCGAGGGTCTTTCAGAAACAAACTTTCTACTCCCTGGGGATAGGTGTAAGGTCTGCGTACTCGCTACCCTCCCAGACGCCACTTATGGGATCTTTCACTGGGCTGTTTGTTGTTGTTGTTGTTGTTGTTGTTGGTGGTGGTGTTGTTGTTATGTTTAGATTTGCTAAAAAATGTTCTGTAACCACTAGTAATGGTGGCATTATATATATATATATATACCATGTTCTTGACTCTTTATGATTTGGTAGCATGCAAAATATTAGTATATAAAAAGGGAATATTGACCTTTTCTTTGTTAATTCTCTCTGCTGTATAAGTGCATTGGAACATATAAACGTGCCTGCATATATTGGGATTTTTCATGTTTGTACGTGCTGCCATGTTAAGACAATTTCTTTGGAAAAAAAATCAAACAAATAATACCCAATCTTAGTAGAAAAGAAGAGCTGAAAAGAGAAAGATCAAGAAAATTTTATTGTTAGCTAGTGAGATGGCAATTTCTGTTTCAAAGAAGAAAGCTAAGAGTTACAAAAGAGTTGAACCTAAAGAACTTAGCTTCATTTTTTCTTCTTTCTTAGCTAAACTTCTTTTTAGAATACCAACTATAGTCCTCATCTTGATTCTCATCTTCTTATGGTCTTCTTCTACCACCATTATTTCTGGTAAAGTTGTACATGTCTGCGTCTCATCGCGCAAACTGAACAATCTTTATTGCATTTCTGCTGGCACTGAACCTAATATTGACACCGCGATTTCTCCTATCAATGGTACTTCTCCTTCCATTTTAGCTGATACGAAGGATACAGCATCAAATGTTGTCGATGTTCTGCTAAAAGAATCTAGTCCTCTTGACATTCCATCGCTAATGGTCAATGGAAGTTCCACATCTACTGATAATGTTGTCGATGTTTTGATACAAAAATCTAGTCCTCTTGACGTTCCAACGCCAATGGTCAATGGAAGTTCCACATCCACAAATAATGTTGTCGATGTTCTGCTAAAAGAATCTAGTCGTCTTGACATTCCAACGCCAATGGTCAATGAAAGTTCCACATATACTGATAATGTTGTTGATGTTTTGATACAAAAATCTAGTTCTCTTGACATCCCAATTTCGCGTGTCAATGAGAGTTCCACATTCAATCCTAGTGAGAAACAAACAAGTACAAGTGTATCTGTTAATTCTATTGCAGGAAATCAAATTCTTGCTTTCAGAAACAACATGGTTAAAAGTGGTGATGAGGAACTAGAGATGGCTTACAATGATGTGGAGGATCAATTGCAGGTGCATCGTTCGTGGGTTGCAACGAGCAAAAATCATACAACATGTGATGGCAGGGGAATTTATGTGTATGAATTACCAACAAAGTTCAACAAAGACTTGGTAGCTCAATGTGCAGATATGATTCCTTGGGTCAATCTCTGCAAGTACTTCAGCAATGATGCAATGGGCGAATCGATACAGAAACTTGGCAAAGGGTGGTACCAAACACATCAGTATTCGTTGGAGCTGATATTTCATTCGCGCGTTATGAATCATCCTTGTAGAGTATACAATGCAGATGAAGCAAAGCTATTTTATGTGCCTTTCTATGGTGGATTGGATATCTTGAGATGGCATTTCAAGAATGTCTCGAACGATGTCAAGGACACGTTGGGACTAGACCTTGTAAGATGGCTAGAGTCACAAAAGCATTGGTTTCAAAAATCAGGTAATGATCATGTCTTTGTTTTAGGAAAAATTTCATGGGATTTCAGAAGATCCAGTGACACAAAATGGGGGAGTAGGTTCTTGGAACTAGACGAAATGCAGAATCCGGTTAAGCTCTTGATTGAACGACAACCATGGCATGTTAACGACATAGGAATACCTCATCCTACTTATTTCCATCCACAATCGGACGATGATATAATAACGTGGCAGCTCAAGATCATCAAGTCAAATCGGAAAAGCCTCGTGTCCTTTGCTGGTGCAGCTAGGCCTGGTGCACCAGAGAACATAAGATCAATGTTGATCAACCAATGCACTTCAACTAAAGATGAAGAATGCAAATTCTTGAATTGTAACTCAGGTAAATGTGACCAGCCCGAGTCGATAATTGAGCTATTCATGGAATCTGAATTCTGTTTACAGCCTCCAGGTGATAGTCCAACACGAAAATCAGTTTTCGATTCGTTAATATCAGGTTGTATTCCAGTGATCTTTGATCCCTTTACCGCGTACTATCAATATTCATGGCATTTACCAGAAGATCATAGAAAATACTCAGTTTTCATAGATCAAGAAGATGTGAGAAATATGAAAGTCAATGTAGTAGAGAGGCTTATGCAAATTCCTGCTAAAGAAAGAGAGAACATGAGAAGGTACATTATTTATGAGTTGTTACCTGGATTAGTGTACGGAGATCCAAAGTCTAAGCTGGAGAAATTCCAAGATGCATTCTCTATAACTATAAATAATCTGTTTGAAAGATTGAATAAATTAGAATTATGACAGAATGCAGTATAGATATGTGGCATGTAGACTGTCAATTTTTGTTATTTCTATTTATTTATTTATTTATTTATTTTTGAGAATTAATAAATCTTAATTCTGTTTATTTTTTCTAGTTTCCCGAAATTTTTTCCCTTCCGATGTAAAATGACTTCCATCATACCAAACTACTGAAAATAACTTTCTCATGAAGAGCATTTTCTTAAGAAAAAGCGTCCATCATTAAAAACACACACGCACCACTATAAAGGAAATTGAATGTGATAAGACAGAACACATTTATTTGAATTTCAAATTTTAATATAAATTTTTTTACGGACGAGCTACAACAATTGCGCTTATTAAAGCAATTAAAAGAATTATTAAATCCGTTTAAATGAAAAACAAAATCAGTTTGATAAATGAATTTTAATTTGTTGACTACTACTTATAAAATCTTTCTCTATAATCTAGTTTGATTTTGTTGTACAAATAATTATGTATCATGACGCATATGAAACAGTAGTAATTAGTGAAATAAAAAGGCTTATGCAATCCATCGAAGTAAATCCATCTCCTACGCTCCAAAATGAAAATTTGAACATCACAGCAAAGATGATTAAAATTTATAGCTCCTATGTAAAATAAGTAGCTGCGCAATAGCTACAAAATAGGAGTTAAATAGAATATAAAATATGGACAAACACAAGAACCAATCCCAAGAAAGACGCAGAATAAATTGGATCGGTACTAAGATTTTCGGAGGTACGAGGAAGGATGTGAAATAGAATAATATCGATTCGTATAGGAGAAAGGATTCTCTATTTATACCTAACTTATGGGATAGGCAAAATACATAAGTTGGCACCCGAACAATGGACCAAATCCCTGTTACACACTTTCTGTGGACACAAATAATATTACACACTCAACCTTTTAAAAGTTTGTCTAATACACCCCACTTTTTTCTTGACCACTTTACCTAATTATGAGTAATGTCACGCACCAATAAGGTCGTGACACATGTCATTAACATAAATAAATAAAACAAAAAATATAAAATTACACATATACCATCATCTTCTCCAACCCCATCTCTTCCACCTCCATCTCCTCCTCCACGGACCACCCAAAAAATTAGAACACACAATTCAATCCAAAAATTAGGAGCCCAAGTGATTTAATCCCAGAAAGAAATAAAAACATCAAAAACCAATAAGCCATGGCTCACACCACCGTATCATCACCACAACAAGGTCATTGTTTAAAAAAAATGCAACAATGGCAAAGGTAGATCGAAAATTACAACTGCTTGGGTACCATATCTATTGAAGCTTATCTACATCAACAAAGACATAAACGGACTATTTTCATTTATAGCTCTCTTCCAAAATTTTGTTTGTCATTTCCATGGCTGTCATCGCCACCACCAACTTTCAGAATAAAAAATTCAGCCTCCTCTTCAAAATAGATTGGAAGCTTGAGATTAATGCAAAATATGTATATTTAAGAGAAAATCAGAAAGAAAAAGAAAAAGAAGGGATTTGGTGGGGGGAGGTGTTGGCTGGCGGAAGAGAGAGATAGAGGAAGGGTGGGGAAGATGAGGAGATTGCAGACACATGACATAAAATAAATAATTAGACAGTATTTTTATTAGTAGACACGCTTCTATCGTGGTGTTTTACACATGCTGAGTCCTGGTCAAAAGCGGTGTGTATTAGACACACTTTTAAAAGGTTGAGTGTGTAATATTATTTATGTTCACAGAAAGTGTATAACAAGGATTTGGTGTATTGTTCCGGTGACAACTTATGTATTTTGCGTACGGGATACGAATGAGGAAGGGGAAATCTTTTTTCTTTCTCCCAAACTTTTAAAAAAAGAATGTATTTGTCCCGGAAAAATAAATTTTTGGAAATTCTTTTTCCAACTCACAAAACTGTGATTTTTTTTAAAAATAAAATATATGTTCAAATATAATTTCAAATTTCATACAATTTTTTCAAACTTAACTCAAAAACTATTTTTTTTTAAATAAAATAAAAATCATCCAAACGCCTGCTACTTTGGGAGTTTTTTCTTTCGCTGCTGCTTTCAAAGGGGTTTTCAGATCTTCTTTCTTCTTCAACGCTAAGTTCCAGGTATGATCTTCTTCTTCTTCTTCCCTTTCTTCTCTGCTCTTCTGCTCTGAATCGCTGCCTTAACAGTCGAAGGACCCGTGCCTTAACAGTTTTCCCCTGAGTAAACGTCAAACGTCGATTTGCCGTAAGAATTTTAATACTAGTATAATTCATCGTTGCATGTCCTTTTGGTGTTAATGTTGTGTTTATTGTTGTTTTTTTGACATATTAATCAGTCCATCCCTGCCATTGGTGTTAGTATTGTGTTTGTAGCTATTTGCTCTGTTTTAGGTATTTTCCGGTACTACTGTTAACTCTTGCTTCTATCTTTCAATTTTAGGGTTACATTGATTCAATTCCCTTCCCGTAATACTACCTATTTTCCTTCTTGCAGTTTTCAATTTTTAAAGGATTTTTACTAAGATGCCTATGGTAACACGTGGTGCTGCGAAGCGTCTTCGGAAACTGCCTAAGGATCCCGAGGTGAATTACGATGAGGTGGTTTTTTTTTAAAAATATTGTGATTTTTCTTCTTATTATATCAGTACATTGTGCATGCCCATTTATCTTGTTGATTGGTAAACCTTGAATAGTGGAGCACCCAAGGTTGTGGCGTAGTGGTCAATAAAGTGGGTGAGAACCATGAGGTCTCAGGTTCAAATCCTAGAGAAGGCGAATAACACTAGGTAATTTCTTCCCGTCTATCCAAGCCTAAGCCTTGGTGGATAGAGTTACCTTGAATACTGGAGCTACTTGTTAGTCTTTTGTGTTCTTAGAAACTAGGTAGATTGACCCTAAGAGGTCGGATACGGTGTGTTTTAGACCCCTTATGTTGTATAGACTGAAGGTCTGTTGATTAGCAAGCTGATTGTATTTTGTTTCCAACGATAGTCTGAATGTGATTTTGTTTGAATGGTAATTGATTTGTTGGTTTTACAGTTGGATGTTCCATCAATAGTTGATGTTCTTAAGTGGTGATTGTGATTTGATGAAGTTGTTGGTGATCAAACAACTCCAAAAATTGTTCCATTACGGTATGACTATGACTGCTCCAGCTTCGTTTCTACTGATTTTCTTGAACTGCTCCAGCTTCGTTTCTACTGATTTTCTTGAACTGCTCCAGCTTCGTTTCTACTGATTTTCTTGAACTGCTCCAGCTTCGCAAATTTTAATTCACAGGTATGATCGCTGCACTAGAAGATGCTCGAGACTCTGGTGAACTTGTTCCTCTACTTAATGAAATTCTAGGGAGAGAGGATTCATCAGCGCTCAAGGTAGATAGTGATGTGTTGATCACCTTTTTGTGCCTCTTCTTTAGTGTCTTGTGGTTGTAGCTTCACACTTGCTTTATTCTTATGGTTTTGTGGTCACAGTCTGAAGCTGCTAAGGCTGTCATAGACAGTATTCCTGAATTGTTGGAGCTAACTGATTTGGTGATTAAGAATAAGCTGGTGGAAACTCTTCTAAAGCTTTTGCATTTTCCAGATGGTAATGTTTATCAGCAGGTATGTTTTAAAATTGCAGACCCCTATGCTGTATAGACTGAAGCTATGTTTATTAGCAGACTGATTGTTTTTTCCTTCCAAATATAGGCGGTGGAGAAACTGGGAAAGGTTGCTCAATCCGTTGTAGGTCGTGATTATGCTCTAATTGAGTGTGGGGCTATAGATGATTTGCTGGAAATTTTGAACAGCACTAACGAGGTCGGTTAATTACTGTTGATTTTTTTTTTTTGCATCTGCAACTATTTGATGCTAAACATTACTGATTACAATTCAATTGTCAGGTGAAACCAGCATTCCCAACTCTTCGTAACCTTCTTACTTCAAATGTTGATGAAGAGGTGCTGAAAAATGCATGCTGGGCACTTTATTACCTTTCTGCTGGTGTAGATCTGACCTCCAATGGATATTGTACTAGATTAACATTCATTCCTCATCCTGTTGTGAGCGATAGTGATATGATTAAGGCCTTCTTTCAAGCTGATGTTCTTCCGGTTCTACTTAATCTCTTCAAGTGAGTGAATTGTTTTTATTTTTCTCATTTAACCTACTTTTTCCTATCTAACGTACGATTGTATCTGATATATACGTCAATTGATGTTTCAGAGATGACGTACGTTCCGTAATCCGCCCTGCCATCAATACAGTTGTATGTATTAGTGTGCTGGGAGACCAGCACCAGAAAGAGGTACGCGGGTATAAGGAGCTTTAGTGGTTGAACCAAAACACTTTGATGAACTAACCAATGAAAAAAGGAACAAACTAAAATAAATTAAGTGATTGAAAGGTAGAAACATCTTAAACAGCATGTATTGAGATTATAATTTAGCATGTTCCTGATTCAACGTCAAATTTGATGTGTTTACAGCCTAATTTCTAATAGCCTCCGAAGAACCCACCCATTTGGTAAAGCTGTCCAGCACAATATTTTAAAAAAGTCTTCTTACAGTAAGATCGTTCGACTGAAGGTGTAAAAATAGGTTCTTTGTCATCTTCAAGTCATGGGCAAGTCCACCTCCCAGCTCCAGCGCAGCCATCTAGGCTGCATTCTTTTTATTTGCCTACATTGTTTTTTAGTTTTTTATAACCGGTATTCACTAACTTGGCCTTTTTAGATCTTGGGACAAAATTTCTATGTATGTAAGCTGGTAATAAGAAACTTGTCCTTGATTAAAAGAAGAAAAACTTGGAATTGTCTAGATTAAGGTTGAAAAGCATCTTCAACGCTAAAAAATTGTGCTTGTAAACTTCAAAATGGGCCCTTACTTTCCTAGATATCTTTTGGCATTGTTCATTTTGAGCCCAAAATGATGAAAAACATATCCCACAATTGAGCAGTAATTTTTCAATGTAGAAATAAGCGGTTTGTGTCCTCGGGTTGCTCTTCACATAGTGAGCATTTGCTCTCAATAGGCATTCCTCTTATTTGCAAATTAGACTATGTGGGACATGTATTTTTTCCTACTAACCAAGTGAAGATCTGAATTTTGTAAGATGCTGATCGATAGCTGGAGCATTGCTAAACGTAACGTCCTTGATTGCCTGTTGGGCTTGCTAAAGAGTGGAATAGAGGAGGAGATGGTCTGCATGTTTATAGCATACATTACTATTGGGAGCATGCATCGGGCAAAGGTATGTCGTCTGGATTTAAAAGGACAGCTAAATATATTCAGCTCTTGCATACTTTTTCTACATGTCTTCTAAGGTGCAAATTTTACAAATGTTAGGTGGTCAAATGGGGAGTTCTTTGCTTTTTATACCCTTAACCTATCCGTTACTTTTTGTTTCACACCTAATCTTTTTTTATTTTACGATTTACCCCTTAATGCATTCATATATTTGCAAAGTTGTGAAAGAGTTCAGTTTTCAAGGTGCAAAATAGGAACTATTTTTTGTTAATTATAAAATAAAGGAAGAGAAAGAAAGAAGTTGCCAGAGGAATGAAAGAGAAATTTTAACCTTAAATTGGAACTGTGGATGAATGTGTTAAAACTGAAATCACGAATCCTTGTGGTTGGTGTTGGAATTTCTGAACTTTGCGATACCAGTGACAAAGTAATGGATCACTTATTCAATCAAATTTTATTTATCCTTAAGCTTTATAATACCAACTGCTGTTGAGATGTTCCAAGGGATAATCGCAATAACATTTGAGATGTTTTCCTACCTTCTTCAAGCTTCACTCTACAGGGTCGTTTGGTACAATGGTGGGATATCCGATGGGATTGGCTAATCCCACCTTTTTAGTGTAAAATTTATCCCCTTATTAGATAATCCCTACAATCAAACGTGGGTCAAATTTAGTCCCAATTTATATCCCACCTTATCATATGAACCAAACTACCTCTAAAATCTATTCTATCTTCATTAAAAAACTGCTTTTTAAAATAAAAATTATTTAATTTCTATTTTGCCCTTGCAAAATATGATCTTTCATGATTTTAAAAAGAAGGGGAAATAGCAGTTTTTGTCAGTGTTGTTGCCTAATTTCAGATTGGTTGTACATAGCAAATTATTTTGTTATAAAAGTGTACAGATTCACGTGGCAAGCAAGATGATCAAGTTAATTTCACAATAAAACACCACTTTCCTTTTGCTGATCTTAGAAGAGTGTGCCCTCTCTCGCTCTAGATCTATCTTTCTCGCTCTTCGAATCTGTTAGTTTGTATGAGTCCACCAAACTGTAGAGTACCTGGTCCTCTATGAGATAATGCTGAGAATGCTAATAAAACTAAAAGTAAAGAAGACAAGGGATTTTTACGTGGAAAAATCTCACATAAGGGGATCAAAAAACCACGACCTACACTTGTAGGCTTTTAACTTCACTAACTTGCAATTTCACTATTACAAGTCACTTTGCAATAACCCTATTACAAAGACTTCAGCTAACTTGTGATGCTCTCACCACAAGCCACTTTATAACTCTCCTAGTTACAAAGGCTTTAAACTTATGACTAATCCTAGTCACAACATAAACTCGGAAGTTTACGGATTTTTGGTTTCTCCTGAGACAAAGCTTCTAAGAAAGCAAAATAGGAAATACAATGAAGAACAAATAACAAGATTACAACTCAACTACGGATATACATAAGCTCGTTGTGAAACTGATCCTTAGTGGAGTTGTCTTCTTATTCTTGACACACCAGTGACTTCAATGCCGGATGAACACTGTTATGCTTGAGAGAATATCATTGAATGCACAAAAGATGTTGTGCCTTGCACTAGGTTGTTATATCACAAAAGACATCACAATAGATAGTGATGTCAATTCTTGGTACACGCTTCTTCCCAATGAGAAGTGACTGCTGCACTGTCTGCATAGTCACTTCTGTGCAGTTGACTTGTACTTCTATCAGAGAACCCTAAGGGATCAGGTCCCTGTTGTGTTCCTCTTTATAATGATTGCGGACAGTCACTGACTTGTACTTCTGTCGGAGAACCCTAAGGGACCAGATCACCAGGTCCCTATTGTGTTCCTCCTTGTGGTTCATTCATTTGCTGGAGACCAGACTGGACGTTATTCATTTGAAATGTATACCGCGTTGTCAGGTTCTCTATCTGGTTCTTCAATAAGTTTGTTAGATCATCAAAAACATAAGAAGCATAAGGCAAAGATATTGAAAACCCATCAATTTCCCCCTTTTTGATGATGACAAACTTAGGCATTGATAGTATTTGTTTAGAACGGAAATAGCCAGATAGGGTTTCAGAAATTCCAGAAACCTTTTGCTTTTGATTCCCCCTTAATCAGATCCCTCATATTGGCAATAAGCAACAAGTTTCTACACAAGTTCCCTGACCCTTTCTACACAATTCCCCCAGTCTCCCTGACCTTTTGCTTTTAATTCCCCCTTAATCAGATCCCTCATATTGGCAATAAGCAACAAGTTTCTACACAAGTTCCCTGACCCTTTCTACACAATTCCCCCAGTCTCCCTGACCTTTTGCTTTTAATTCCCCCTTAATCAGATCCCTCATATTGGCAATAAGCAACAAGTTTCTACACAAGTTCCTTGACCCTTTCTACACAATTCCCCCTGTCTCCCTGACCTTTTCCCCTTTTGGCATCATTAAAAAGAAACACAAGCAGGCAATCAACATAAAGAAGTCTAACACAACCAACTCATGTCACATATGTGCACACAACATGATAGAAAAAAGAAACCAGAGGGAAACAACATGTACATGCAAAAAGAGAAGTTGTGTCATTAATATTAACACTAGACTGAGCAAAACAAGAGCAATAGTGGTGAAATCCAGCATGCCTATCACAAAAACGAGGCAAACAAAAGAGAAACAACAGCCACAAAACATTAGAGCCAGAAATTAGTTGGTCACTAAGAGAATCCTAGGGGGCACTAAGAGAGGGAGACTTGGAAGAGGAGGCAATAATGTTTTTGAGAACCAGGTCTAGTCGAGCATTTGCAGACAGTTGTTCTTCAAGTAATTGTGCCCGAAGTTTATCATTTTCCTTTGTTAGTCGGGTAACTTCTTCATTAACAGAATCAGGTCCTTTAACTGCTTGACTGAGCTGAGTTTCCAGTATGGCATTTTGAGCCTTCAACCTTCTGATCTCTTTAGAAGCTACATTTTGAGCGTTGATCAGCTGAGAAATGGTCGAGATGCTTCCACCAACTCTTTCTACACATTCACATTCTTCTAAAGTGGTTTTAGAGAAGGTTTGCTTGCGTGTGCCCACTCTGGGATTCCCCAAGGGGACCTTGTAGAATCTGAACACCTGAGTGAGGAGAAAGCCATATGGTAGCCCATGATTCCCACCTTTAAAGTTTGTCACCTTTTGCATATGATCTATCATGATTGCTGGCAGATTGATTGGGACAAACTCATCAAACGCTTCCATTAAGACCATATCGGATTTTGTAGCAATAGACCGCCTCTCAAAACGAGGTAAGAGCACCTTATTCACCAGTTCAAAGAGAAGTTAATACTTAGGAAGCAATACCTTCTTATGCACCTGTTTCCCCCTGCTGAATAGCTTGCTCTTTCATGATGGCTCTCCTGAAGCTTACACCACAGACACCCTTGACTGAGGACATCCCTTCACATGGAATTTTGAGAACCTTTCCCAATGTTGAAGCGTCGAGTACAATGTCTACTCCATTTACTAGTGCACAAATGTGATCCCCCTCAACAGTGAAGAGAGATGCGTAAAAAGTTTGTACCGCATATTCGTACACCAGAGGCATGCTCCCTTCAAACAAGTGTTCCCATTGTTGAAATTCCACAATCTCCAGAATTTGTCTCATACCGGCCATCTCCGAAATTGATGGGTCAAATGTACGACCCCACAAGACTTTCTGAGTTCTTAATCTCTGCTGCCAAAGACCACTATCACTGGGCATGGTCCTCAGAGCACCAGGTTCTTTAACAGTTTCCCGTTTTCGTTTGCTAGACCCTTCAACAGACTTTCCTTTCCAGCTTACTAACCCCACAGTATCATCTTTAGACATGGCTTGCTCAACTTGACTCTTTTTAGACTTGCCGCTGCCCTTCACGGATACACTATTTTGTTTCTCAATGGTTTCATCGGAAGCTCTATCCACAGACTTTTGAGCTTTCATAGATTGTTGCACTAAGGAACCAGGTTCTTTTGGAGCATTTTTGTCAATCCCACTTTCTGGAACACTTTTGTCAGTAACAAATTCCCTCACATTCATCAACCTCCTTTTCCTTGTCTTGACACTCCTGCTTTTCTGCAATGTAAACTTAAAACTCTCTTGCTGATGTGACCTGATAATGGGTGACTTGGAGGAGGACTCTAAGAGCTTAGAATAATCAACAAGTGCAGGAGTGGGCTTGCAGGGAAAAGAATCAGGTTCTTCAGAAGGTTTTTCTGAGAACGTCTCATGAGCCAAAGACTCGAGGAGTACTGTGGTTCTTACATCTCCTAGGAATGGAGTTTCTTCCCCTTGATACTCAGATCTCCTTCATTCATCAGGCTCTCAGCAGCGATAACCATGATGTTCTACGCTGCTTCCTTTTCTGGTGACTCTGAGAGAGTCACTAAGTCCAGAATGGAGGAGTTCAGATATTGGTCAGGATCATCTTCAGAGACTTCTGACACTTGAGAAGTAAAACCTCCTGAGTGTTCTTTGATGAGATCAGAGGAATAACGAGACATAGGGTTTTCAAAATATGGAGGGAAAACAGGGTTTGTCGGAAAAGGGAAAACTGTAGGAAAGGAGGAGGAACTAGGTTGGGATACAGTAGTATTGGAGGGAGTGGAATAGTGAATCTCTGGAAATGATTTGAAGGATGATATGGAAGTGGGAGTGGTGTAAATGGTGGGAGAAGAAGGCGTTCGATTTCCATTATAGGAGCATTTGGTAGGCAAGTAGAGTGAGAGAGAGATGAAGAGAGAATCACAGATATACAGAAGAGATGAAGGTTCATGACTTGCTGTGTGGGAGAAAGACAGTTTTATTGGAAGAAGGGCTAATGATGAGAAGAGATAGAAACAGGGTATGAATAGTTCTGAAAATGGCGGTAGGTTTGTGAGAAAACGTTACCGTGCAGAGGGGATGAAGGAATTTGAAAGACAAGACATGACATGCAGACTTTGAAAAGTCGGATGATGTGGCAGTTGAGTTAATTTTGTTAACATTTTTTGA